CACCATTGAGAGCATCTTGACTGGCTGCATCACCACTTGGTATGGCAACTGCTTGTCATCTGACCGCAAGGCGCTACAGAGGGTAGTGCGTATGGCCCAGCACATCACTGAGGCCGAGCTCCTTGCCATCCAGGACCTCTATACCAGGCGGTGCCAGAGGAAGGCCCTAAAAATTGTCAAAGAGTCCAGCCACCCAAGTCATAGACTGTTCTCTCTGCTACCACACGGCAAGCGGTACCGATGCACCAAGTCTGGAACCAACAGCACCCTGAACAGCTTCTTCCCCCAAGCCATACGACTGCTAAATAGTTAAATAGTTAACCATATAGCTACCCAGACTATCTGCATTGACCCTTTTTGCTCTAACTTTTTTGACTCATCACAGACGCTGCTGATACTGTTTATTATCTTTCCTGTTGCCTAATCACTTTATTCGTAGTTATATGTCCATATCTACCTTAATTACCTCGTACCCCTGCACGTCAACTCGGTAGTTATCGTTACTCATTGTGTATTTATTATTACTTTTATTATTACGTGTTATTACTTTTCTATTATTTCTCTATTTTCTTTCTCTCTGCATTGTTCGGAAGGGCCCGTAAGTAAGCATTTCCTTGTTAGTCTACACCTGTTTGTGGCGAAGCATGTGACACAAACATTTGGTTTGATTTGATTTGATGCTTCAGAAGTTTGTGAGCAATAATTTTTCCCTCTCCTTCAGAACTGTTTATTAGCGTTGAAAGAATGTTGGTTCGTTTCTACAAAAACAATGAACCAACCCACCTTTCTGTTTTCACTTTATCAGAAACTCTTTGAATCCTCCAGGGACATTTTCAGAAACATTTTGAGTAGTGAATACACACCATGACTAATTTATAACAAATGTTCCCACTTTAATCTTTAGTTCTGTAATGTTATTTTTGTATAATGTTCTATGGGCTTTTATGTCTTGTTCAAATATAAATCAAAACCGAGGTACTAATGTTCCACTCTTCCAGATAACTATGTGTTGAGTTGAAAGTGTCTGTTTAACATGGCATACCATGTAGTCCTTTAACAGCTGAGTTACCCTGAGTAAGGTTGAGTTATGTTCATGGGTTGGACTGACTCCATTCTCATTTGATGTGAGGTGTTTTCCTTTATGTTTACCCCTGAGAGGTGTCTGGCCCAGGGAGATGGTCCTCCCTCTGGTCCCAATGCCCCAGGGCTGTACTGTATGTGTTGCAAACAAAGTCTGCCTTAGTATGTTTGTCTCCTAGATACACATTGCAAACGGAAATGTATTCTAGAACGTTTACTCTTTTTAACATTCCAGTGTTTCAAACCTCTATCTGTATTATTGGTCAATATCAGACACTGCCCTGCAAAGGGTACAGTCAGTCATTCACTAAAGATCCCATTGTACACTGGTTTCCACCAGGCTAGGTTCCCAACCTTTCCCCACCAGACTATCATGGCCATAATCATCTAGTTGGTCATATTTCCACAATCCTGAAGTCTTCACTGTGTTGGCAATCAATTATTTGTATGTTGTCAATTATTTGTATGTTGTTTTGGGCAGAGGCTTTGAAAACCTTTGTGTTTTTTTGTGCCATGGTAATAGAAGGCTGTAGGCTCCCTCTTGATAGGACAACAATATGAAAACCAGCACAGGTTAACAGAGTTCAAAGATTGGGGCTGGCAACGAAAAAAGGTATATTTATCGTTTCCGAGAACGAGAGATTTATCGACACAGATACACACACACGCTAACGTTCACACATACACATTACAGCTCCTTTTGATGTTTGATTGAGTATGTATGGAAATGGCATACATACATCAAAACATTTTTATAGCATGGAGCTGTAGTCGCCGATGCAGTAAAGATTGTGTAATGTTTTTTCACAGAAAGCGTCCAGGTCCTTAACACAGCTTATATATGTAGTTCCCTAGCCCTTCGTTATCTGACTGCTTGGTAAACCAGTGGTTTGGAAAAGTGTGTCAGAGTTTTAAAGGCTTAATTTATTGTCCCTCTCAGCATGCACGTCTCATAACTTTCTAGTTAGCCACTACTGGTTTCATGTTTACACAGGTAGTGGAGGAAGAGAAACTTCACACATCCTCTTTCTCTCTCTCTCTCTCTCTCTCTCTCTCTCTCTCTCTCTCTCTCTCTCTCTCTCTCTCTCTCTCTCTCTCTCTCTCTCTCTCTCTCTCTCTCTCTCTCTCTCTCTCTCTCTCTCTCGCTCTCTCGCTCTCTCTCACTCTTTCTTTCTCTCTCTCTCTCTCTCTCTCGCTCTGTGGACCACTCTCTCTCAGAGCGCCGGCCAGCCTGGTGCCACCTCTACACAGAACCGCACCAGAGAGGACCTCAGGCGCCAGCTCGACCCCCCGCTGGGACTAACGCCATTGGTCATGGCTCTCCCCCCTCCTCCCCAATCCCAGCCATGGCCACCCCTTTCCTTCATTAGGTTTATCTCAGACAATCAGCCTGCTTACGTAAAAAAAAAAAAGGGGTGGTAGCAGCTTAAGCTCACCCTCTCCCAAAATACCCCCAAACCTGCCTTTGAACAATTTTGGGGAGACTTCCCCCTCTTAAATCTTCAAGTGGGAAAGGTCCCCCCATCATTGTAAAAAGGATGAATCTGGAAAAATGCAATAAATCTGAGATCACAGGCACTAGATAAATTATTGCACCTCGCCCTAGCCGGCCAAACACATCTGCCTTGCATTTAGACACTTTTACATGGCAGGAGTCCACAGGAGCCTCCAGTTCCCGAGCCTCATACACTCACTCCTCAACCCTGCGCTGTGCTGCCTGTGCCCCTGCTCCACGCCTCTGCTCCTATCCCCTCCTCAACACAGTCCACTGAGACCTCTTCTACTACAACCCCACCCCAGACATCACCAACTCACACTCCTCATCAACACACTGTATAGCTGTCATCAAGGCAAAGGGTGGTTATTTGAAGAATCTCAAATATAAAATATATTTTGATTTGTTTAACACTTTTTTGGTTACTACATGATTCCATATGTGTTATTTCATAGTTTTGATGTCTTTCTACAATGTAGAAAATAGTAAAAATAAAGAAAAATCCTTGAATGAGTAGGTGTTCTAAAACTTTTAACTGGTAGTGCATAGCTATACAGTGCATTAGAGCGGCAGGTAGCTTAGTGGTTAAGAGCATTGTGCCAGTAACCGAAAGGTCGCTGGTTCTAATCCCCGAGCCGACTAGGTGAAAAATCTGTCGATATGCCCTTGAGCAAGGCACTTAACCCTAATTGCTCCTGTAAGTCGCTCTGGATAAGAGCGTCTGCTAAATGACTAAAATGTCTAAAATTCGGAAAGTATTCAGACCCCTTTACTTTTTCCACATTTTGTTACGTTACAGCCTTATTCTAAAATGGATTAAATAGTTTTTTCCCTCATCAATCTACACACAATACCCCATAATGACAAAGCAAAAACAGGTTTGTAGAAATGTTTGCTAATGTATAAAAAAAAAAAAAACGGAAATATCACATTTACGTAAGTATTCAGATCCTTTACTCAGTACTTTGTTGAAGCACCTTTGGCAGCGATTACAGCATCGAGTCTTGATGCTACAAGCTTGGCACACCTGTATTTGGGGAGTTTCTCCCATTCTTCTCTGCAGATCCTCTCAAGCTCTGTCAGGTTGGATGGGGAGCGTCGCTGCACAGCTATTTTCAGGTCTCACCAGAGATGTTCGATCGGGTTCAAGTCCGGGCTCTGGCTGGGCCACTCAAGGACATTCAGAGACTTGTCCCAAAGCCACTCCTGCTTCGGGACTGTCCCTGCCGCTGAAAAACATCCCCACAGGATGATGCTGCCACCACCATGCTTCACTGTAGGGATGGTGCAAGGTTTCCTCGAGACGTGACACTTGGCATTCAGGCCAAAGAGTTCAATCTTGATTTCATCAGACCAGAGAATCTTGGTTCTCATGGTCTGAGAGTCCTTTAGGTGCCTTTTGGCAAACTCCAAGCGGGCTGTCATGTGCCTTTTACTGAGGAGGGGCTTCAGCCTGGCCACTCTGCCATAAAGGCCTGATTGGTGTAGTGCTGCAGAGATGGTTGTCCTTCTGGAAGGTTCTCCCATCTCCACAGAGGAACTCTGGAGCTCTGTCAGAGTCACCATCGGGTTCATGGTCACCTCCCTGACCAAGGCCTTTCTCCCCTGATTGCTCAGTTTGGACGGGCAGCCAGCTCTAGGAAGAGTCTTGATGGTTCCAAACTTCTTCCATTTAAGAATGATGGACGCCACTGTGTTCTTGGGGACCTTCAATGCTGGAGAAATGTTTTGGTACCCTTCCCCAGATCTGTGCCTTGACACAATCCTGTCTCGGAGCTCTACGGACAATTCCTTCGACCTCATGGCTTGGTTTTTGCTCTGACATGCACTGTCAACTGTGGGACCTTATATAGATAGGTGTGTGCCTTTCCAAATCATGTCTAACCAATTGAATTTACAACAGATGGACTCCAATCAAGTTGTAGAAACATCTCAAGGATGATCACTGGAAACAGGATGCACCTGAGCTCAATTTCGAGTCTCATAGCAAAGGGTCTGAATTCTTATGTAAATAAGATATTTCTGTTTTAAATGTTTTATACATTTGCAAAAATCTCTAAAAAAACTGTTTTAGCTTTGTCATTATGAGGTACTGTGTGTAGATTGATGAAGAAAAATAATAATTTAATACATTTTAGAATAAGGCAAAATGTTGAAAAAGGGAAGAGGTCTGAATACTTTCTGAATGCACTGTGTATATATATATATATACTGCATGCATTTTATGTATGGGTGGTCCTGGGAATCGAACCCACTTTCTATCCTGCCGTTGCAAACGCCATGCTCTACCAACTGATACACAAACATGTCACCTCTTACAATCCACCACAGTGAAATCCACAGACACCTCCATCACATGCTCATCACTCCCCCTGGGAAAGGATATGTCTGTGCCCACAGTGCCCCCACCTGGGCTCCACACAGTATGACCCTGTACCAGCGGGACTGTATGGAGTCTCATTGTTTTACCTCAGCTTACCTCCAATTGGAAATATCTATTCCCACTATTGTATGTACTGTGACCTCAATGCCTCTACGAATACTGCCTCACACATAGGTTTGTTTACTCCATGTGTATTCATCTAATCCATGTTGTTGTTTGTCTTTTTCAGCTCAAAAGGACCACACTGCTGAGGATGACCGGCTCAATGCAGCACAGAAAAGGTATGAATCATCTCTATCCATTCTAATATGATAACACAACACGATTAACCTAGAGGTCTTAGACCAAACAACATGTAATCTGTTTAACAGAAGAGCTCTGTATTTGCTGACCTGGCTGTTTGCATACCTCTGGAATACTCTAATGTTGGCTTTTATAAGACCTTTCGACATTCAGAAGGGAACCCAGCCAAGTATAATGGATGGTGGATGTCATAAGGGCATGACGGTTATTTAGCATGTTTCACTTACATAACATGGCTCACATCAGATAAAAGTAATGCTGGTCATTTGTAAAGCTGTCTGTAGTAATTTGTCTTATCACGATCCTTATCTGAGGCTAAAGTCCTGGGACCTTGCGGTATCCAGGCTCTTCAGTCATGTAGCAGATCCTCAGGTCATAACCTGGCTCACTGTAGACTAGCCCCGAGACAGGGAGGGCTGCCTATGGAGACACAAACACACACACACACACTACGCTTACATGTTCACACACACCCACCAAACTCACATACACATATTACCTTCCTATTCACACACTGCTCCAGCACCGATACATGTTTGCATACACACACTGTGCTCACTCCACTCCAGTGATTATCAGGCCTTATCTTTCGTGTGTGGTACTGCAAACTTCAAGAGTCACTGTAAGAAGCGGCCCATCTGATTTATGGAGATATGGTCAACTGGCAGAAATGTAACAAGTGTCCGAGCGAAACCATATCTGGAAAATGTCATATTGGAAAAACACACTAGAAAGAACAAACAAAATATTATTTTTCCTTGTTTAGATAGAGACCAGAATTGTTTGCTTTAAATCATAGCTCTCCCAATTCCAAAATAAATCATGAAAAGCACATAAAGGGAAAAGTTTCCAAACGTCCCTGTTTCATGTTTCCATTTCAAGCCAAGAGAAGCACTCAGCTTGGGCATGCATGGGTCTCTCCATCTCTCTCTGTGTCTCCCTCACTCTTCTCACTTGCTCTCTCCCCTCTCTCTCTGTCTCTCTCTTTCCACTCTATCCCTGTCCCTCTCTCTCTCCCTTTCGCTCTCCTGGTGGTATTGTGATATCTCTGTCCGTGGCTGTGTGACTGACACCAGTGTAATGAAGATGTTGAACTTGGGGATATTGATCAAAAGGGTCCCGCGGCTGACAGCCCCCAGCCTTTAATGAAGTTTGCCTTTAACTTCACCTAAACGGGGCCGGGGGCTGCCTGGCGCTGGGGGGCGGGGGTGGCTCTCAGGTTCCCAGGGACGCACCTCGTAAAAGTGACACGCTGGTGATGAATATGGGCGGTGGGCCGTGGTGTGTGTGTGCTGTGGTGTGTGTGTGCTATATTGTGTGTGTGTGCTGTGTGTTCTGTGGGCCCTGGGTGGGCCCCGACCCTCACATCTGTCCTGGAAGAGGCATTCACACTGTCCAACACAGCCACGCATTAGGGCCCCGTGTTAATAAGACTCATAGACATCACATTACCACTGCTAGCTACTGAAACACTGGGCCAACCCCTCAACGAGTGGGATTGTGGTTGTTTGTTATGGTCCATGTGGCCTCAAGCCAACCACCATAATAGGACTGATTTGGGTTGTAGTAAATTTGCACAAATTTGGATACTTGGTTGGTAAAATTACTTTATGGGAAGCTGATATCATACACAGTTTATGACATCAGTTTTGGGGGTTTGTTTTAGTTTTCCTGGGTATCCTATGCAGTGAGTAATGAGGTCCTCTCCAGAACACGCAATCCTAATTTGTTCCTTTTATGTTTCAGTTTCCCTGAGGTTTCCTGATACGTCCACAGTTAATGGACCATTAAGTTTCCCCTCCCTCATCAATGCTCAACTGCACCGTGTGTGCTGCTTACATACGTATGTGGTTACAGGGTGATTTGCTGGAGGGATATTAGAACTGTCCCAACTTCCGTTATCCACTATCCATAGTATATTGAAGATGTCTCATCTCCGTTAAAGAAACAACAGCTGATCACAAAAGTGTGTTTACTGTTCTAATCTGGTTTTGTATGGAATGTCTTAGCGGTCCAAATATCCTCCTGATATACCCGGCTGCCCAGGCTTTTTTAACTGGCCTGTTTTACAGCCATAAGTGAGGAATGCTGAACATAGGTACAGTAATAAACCATCTCACGGCAGTTGCGTCATAGCCCTCCAGAAGTGCGTGGTATGTGTTTGTAGGACTCGGAGTGGGCGTGTGTGTGTGTGTGTGTGTGTGTGTGTGTGTGTGTGTGTGTGTGTGTGTGTGTGTGTGTGTGTGTGTGTGTGTGTGTGTGTGTGTGTGTGTGTGTGTGTGTGTGTGTGTGAGAAAGAGTAAGAGTAAGAAAAGGCAAGGGAAAGAGCTCACCACACTACAGATTGTGTGTGATTTGTGTGAGCTCTGACACCTGACCCAGGGTCAGGGAAGGAGCCAATACAAAAGCGGCCTAGTTAATCACGCTGGACCGTGCTGGTCAGGTCTACAAAGGCTTCCAGAATTGATGCCCGGCTGTCCTCTCTCTGTTCTGTTCCTCCTGGGTTCCGCTGGTCTGGTCTGGTCTGGTCTGGTCTGGTCTGGTCTGGTCTGGTTGTGGAACGAGGCAAGGCGAGGATGAACTACTGCACTATCGGAGGAGGAGCACATGACAGATATCTGAGGAATGGGAATCGGCTAGTCTGTGGGAGTAGCCGTCTGCCGCGCACATTGCCCCGTCCCCCAACACTCCCCGCCCAACATGTCTTACATTAGCGTCGCAACAGCCACCTACCATCTGGAGGTCAAAACCTCTGTGTCAATCTGGGAGCATCTCCTGAATCATGACTCCTCTATATCAAGTGTGTGACAGACAGGCCTAGCAAATGCCTTTAATGTTTGGGTTAGAGAAAACCCTGGAGCAGCAGGCTGCTTTTCAAGCCCTGTGAGCACTGCTGAAAGACTTGTGAAGAATTTAGATTTGGTTACAATTGAATTAGTCTGAGGATCTGCCATGCACAGGGCTGTGGATTCTCTTCTCATGAATCTTGAATCTCTTCAAGTAGTAGTCCCTTCTATTCATGGATTTGAAGACCTAATCCACAACATGTTTGAGTCAAACATGTCTCAGAGAGCAGGACGGATGAACGTTACAAACGTGTGTGTGTGTGTGTGTGTGTGTGTGTGTGTGTGTGTTTGTGTGTGTGTGTGTGTGTGTGCGTGCATGTTCGATCTCAGCCAGCACCATGCTGTGTTTTGATGTAACATTTACACATTCCTGTGATCATCTTGCATATTGTCTGCCAATAACCATTGTTCCTGGATCGAAACAACGTGTGTGTGTGTGTGTGTGTGTGTGTGTGTGTGTGTGTGTGTGTGTGTGTGTGTGTGTGTGTGTGTGTGTGTGTGTGTGTGTGTGTGTGTGTGTGTGTGTGTGTGTGTGTGTGTGTGTGTGTGTGTGTGTGTGTCTGCCAGCTCTTGGCTGGATCCCCTGGCACTGTTCCCCTTCAGGCTGTAGTAGAGGTCAATGTGATAATGGATCCCCTGGCACTGTTCCCCTTCAGGCTGTAGTAGAGGTCAATGTGATAATGGATCCCCTGGCACTGTTCCCCTTCAGGCTGTAGTAGAGGTCAATGTGATAATGGATCCCCTGGCACTGTTCCCCTTCAGGCTGTAGTAGAGGTCAATGTGATAATGGATCCCCTGGGACTGTTCCCCTTCAGGCTGTAGTAGAGGTCAATGTGATAATGGATCCCCTGGCACTGTTCCCCTTCAGGCTGTAGAAGAGGTCAATGTGATAATGGATCCCCTGGCACTGTTCCCCTTCAGGCTGTAGTAGAGGTCAATGTGATAATGGATCCCCTGGCACTGTTCCCCTTCAGGCTGTAGTAGAGGTCAATGTGATAATGGATCCCCTGGCACTGTTCCCCTTCAGGCTGTAGTAGAGGTCAATGTGATAATGGAGCCTCCGCTACCGGCTCTCCCCTGTGACCCAGCAGGATGTCCTCTCACTGCCCATCTCTCAATTCACTCTTTCCTTCTTCCCTCTGTTTCTCCCACACAGCTTCCTGGACATGGTGGGCTACTTTGGGCTCAAGCCAAAGTCTGGGGAGAAGGAGGTGGCCCCCGGTTACGTCTTCATGCTCTGGTATGAGTTCTGCAGCGACTTCAAGAACACGTGGAAGCGGGAGAGTAAGAACATCTCCAAGGAGAGGTGAGTGGAAGAAGCCAGGCCTGCATCAGAGCTCATATTAAATCACACAGCTTGTGATGAAGGGGACAGTTCTACAGCTCTTTTCCAACTGTATCTATTTCTAGAACCCTGAGTGTTCTTTTTTTGATGGCATAAAAGGGGGATTTTTTGTGACTGGGTCAAAGTTCAGCCTTCACACTTTAAATATGTTGAACAGCACCTTTAGTCGCTCTTTTCTTACCCCTCTTTATTAACACGTACCAGATTGTTGGTGTCCCTCACATTTATGTGTGGTACAAAACACCCCAAACGGGGCATTATACATTCTGTAGACAGTGTGGAGTGGAGCTGCTTTTACCAGTTATTATTAAAGCTCAGGGGCATCAAAGAGAAGGTAGGCAGACCGGGACCAGGGCCTGGTACAGAGTCAAAGCCTGGGGCTGGATTTACGGTGTTTCAGCTGACCTGAGGCGTGGTGTCGGAGGGGAGTCCAACTGCGGCACAGCAGCTCTCCTGGAGTCCTCCTGGCTTTACTGGCATGGGACAGAGGCCCGTTAAAGACTGTGTGTTCTGGGAGGATTGTTAAACATTGTCATGATCTGACCAGTCCACAGGGCTTCAGGCTTACAGCACATGGAGACATGCAGCACTGGCCTACCCTGTGCTGAGTGTCTGGTGTCAGGGCTGCTTCGAAGGGACAGTAACGGTCCAAACGAGCGTTAGAGTATTTTGGCATCCTTGTACTATGCTCTTATTGAATATGGGAGAGACAATGGTAACTGTAATGTTGATACTGATGAGGTTCTACAGAACCCTGGGCTGTTGTTGGGTGTGTTTGCTCCATACGCACCATACATACAGTACAGCAGGGCAGCTATCTTTGAACTGGTGAGTTATGGACAGAGTTAATGCGCTCCTAACCATTCCATGGATCCATGTGCTCTCTCTTAATTGTTTACTAGGCAATCATGTCCCGTATTACCCACAGCTGATTGTGCTTATGTACAATTAACTTTATTTTAAATACTGTTTGCACACCCATAAAACTCAAGTGTTTTTAAGACTAGCTCATTATCTCATTGGCCCACTGTCATTCTCCCTGCTTTAAGCGGTGGGCTTCACTACCTGCGAACTCCAGAAGGCTCAGCAGAACAGAGTGGGGCTGTGAGGGAGGATGAGGACTCTGTGCCATCCTTACGTGCAGTGTTCGCGGTAAAATATAACACGTTGCGGCGGTGCTTGGCTGTGCCATATGCAATAGTGCCCAGTGGGGGATACATACTGTGGTGTGTACATGCTGCTATTACAGTACAAACAGCTTCTGGAGGGACTGAGGCCCCTGTTAGCTAACTAACTCATGTGCGCCAATGTTACTAACAGACATCAAGAGGTTTTCTGTCTTAGACATGACAGAGTTGTGCCACATGGTCAGATATGTGACACAATGTACAAATATGAGAGAGCTGTTAGGGTTTATGTACTAATATCAAAGGTTATTTTAACCTGGATAGATAGAGACATGTTTGTGGTGTCCTGGTATGATTGTTTCCCCTTTCTTCCAGGCTGAAGGAAGCGCAGGAGAACATGAAAAAGATCACTGCTGAGAACAGGGTGGAAACCAAGAAGGTCAATGCCAACAGTCTGGTAAGAACTGGACTCCCTTCAACCCCCCTCAAATATTTTGATCAGTAACATGGTTGCTATTACCTTGGCTACTAACACAGTTGATCATGGTGGGTCATAGCATATAACACAATGCTATAAATCTCAGCTATCCCTTTTTCTCCTCTGTCAATAGAAAGAGAGACTGCGTCAGAAGGAAGCCAGCGTGTCCTCCAGCTGAAGAGGATGATCAATGAAGAACAGAGTAGAGAGAGAGGAAGTGGAGAGAGATGGCCGATGGGAAAGTCTGCTGGCTTCACCACTTCTAGCCTTCACCACCTGCCTCTTACCCAACATCATACCTCATATAGCCCTCCGTGCTCCCACGCTGTGGACCTCTCTATTACGGCACCATTCTACCGTCCCTACTGACTGGACCATCTCCACTACTCTCCATGGGGCACCCCTCTTTCACCTCAACCTCGTCCCCAGATGAGAGGTACCTTGTGTGGCTTCTATCACTGTGTATCCCTAGGACCACCATCCAGACCAACACTTACACCGTGGGAAAGAGGAACCTGTTTGCCTGACACCCTGCTGTAGATTTGCCGGCTGCTAAGTCTATGCAGGCTGCTAAGTCTACAAAGAGGGTCGTTGGCTGACTAAACAGCTTACGTGATGAGAATCACAGGGGCCAAAGGTCAACCTCATTCATCCAGACTGGTGTGACCTCTGAATGGCCAGCCTGTAGAGCCTGCTCTGAGGGGTGCTGGGGATCAGGATAATGAGCACTCCAGCTGACATATCTACACTGATGACCCCTGACCTCTAGGCTTCCTAGGCCTGCTGGAGCTGAGGACCTGCATTCATTCCTCAGTCTGGGTTTCTTTCATGACAGCATCACACATCCTGATGACATAATAAAATGCATTGAAGCTAGGTTATGCAAATACAGTAAATACAATAAAAATTAAGATGAGGCCTCATTGTTGTTGGGCTATGTTAACAGATATGGCTACCAGGTGATGTTCACTCAGAGGAGTTGTTATTCTAACAATGATTTAGAATATGAAAGCAAAATACAATACTTTAAAGTAAAGAATAGCTATTAATTTGCTGTGGCCCATTTTTTAAGTGTGTATTGTAAATGATTGCATATGGTGTTTGTTTTCAAATGAGCAGGGACTGAAACGTTTGACCTGATGTTGTATTATGAAGAGAATCAGTAGCCTTTATTGGACTGAGAGTCCTGTTGAAGGCATAGCGATATGGGTCCTGGTCAGAAGGTGGAAACTGGATGTTGTAACGATGTTAACTTTCTCACTGCACCAGACTGACCCCTCCTGGGTGATAGCCAGAGAATGCCAGACCTTGGCAGCAATTCCTTGCTCTCTTCCCCTGAGTCATACATCACGCTCTGAGATGAACAAACAACCCTGCTATAAGCTATGCTGAGGAAAGCAACAGGTATTCTGAGTATGGCTGCCCTGACACATTTTTGAAGTGTATATGATAGAATGGTTAGTTGTTCATGACATATGTATGTCACAATTCTAAGCACTTTCCTGCTTGCATCAGCTGTATTTAGTAGCTATATTATATTTATTTAACAACAAATTTGTATTTTAATTCTGGAAGATTTAAACGTTGTCTTGGAAAACTATACATGATAGGGAAAACTATAAATGATATGAAATATTTATTTTATGGCAAAACATTAATTGTTTTCTCTTTGAGGCTGTATTTCGTATATTATTTGATTCCTGCCTTTAGCTTTAGGGGGTACATGAATGGCTCAGTAGTCAGGCGAAAGATGTGTTTAGTTTCATATGGATATGACCTATATTATGTGGAGCCTTATTCATTTACCCCAAATGGTCTTGTTTCATACCTGACCTAAACTGATAGGGAGAGTATAATTTGGCTAAATATATTGACTTTTTATTTATTTAAATCAAGAAAATGTTTACTTTGTTTAAAAATAGAAACGATTACTCATATCAAGCCATGTGTATACTTTACCCCTGTCAGAACCCATTGAGTGTCCAAATAACATCGTTGTTTCATAATCATTGAATGTGCCATTCTTTTGTATGAAGATATTTCATAATCTTACAAGTGCACATTTTCTGTTTACTTTAACGTTTTTCAAAACCAAATTAGTAGGCTAGAAGTTGAATTTGATGAAGGCCTATTTATAATTGGTTCATTTAGTTACAGGCCGCTATATGTTTCCACATGTTTTAGGTGTTTTATCGTTAAATTAATTTGCGCGAGGTCAAAGTAATAGATTGTAAACATCACAACAATTCAGTCACCAAAGTCTTAACTGGAGTCTATAGATGAGGAAGCCTTGCAACTATGGAAACGGACGTTTAACCTTCCTTTTCAATTGTTTCTCTCCTTTCAGCACACCCTAATAGGCCTAACATTCAGGCTCAGTAATGATGCAGGAGCCAAATAAAGTTGAAAATATGTGCATTACAATGACTCAAGTAGCCAAATTGTTTCATTAATACATATTATTAATTTTTGCGCAATATTTATTAAATTGCACCTATTCCTCTCAAAATGCACCTTTTCATTATGAATGAATAATTGAAACATGTTAGAAAGCATGATAATAATAGGAGAAAGTAGACATAAGTTAATTGGATATAAATGGATAGAAACAAGCAATTTCCCTAAAATCATGACTTGTGTATTAGTCTACAATTGGCCGCAAACTTGATCATGTCCACACTACAGTAAGTACAGTGAAGGCACGGTAAGACTAAATCGAAGAAAAGCGAGGCAACTGACATGTTCTTAGCCTAAAACCTTGCATTTCCATGTGGATGTATTTTTTAAGCATGGGGCAGCAAATTGCAATTTGCCAAATGCTCACGAGGCTTAAACAATTGGACGATAAAGATTTGATAAAGAAAACTCTGCTCGATATTACATTTTTGGGGAAGGGCTATTGATTGATTGATGTATCTATTTTTAGAGAACCGTGTAGAGAGCCATCTACACTGTCTGAACAAAAAACAGTAATGCAGCAATGGTTTTACAAATGCGTCATATCCCGGGTTAGCATCAGATTGTCCCCAGAAAGACATGGGCCTGTGGCTTTGACAGATTTACGAGCTGAGGTAGAGCCTATTGTAGACTGATAACATCGTTTCAATGGAGTTCTTGAAAAGGTTGTTATGCCTGACATGTAATTGCGTTTCTTGTGGTCTTTCCTCATAAATTATCTTCGTTTTACGACGAAATGTAGGCTATCCAAGAGTCTAAGGAACGTATAAAAGTCCCAGCAAGAGGTTGGCTCCAAGCAAGAAGAAAATAACCCCATCGCTGGAGAAAATGCTTTGATTTTGTGTTTCGGGTTAACCTGATGCATAAAATGTTCTGCATGAAATCAGAGTCTTTGCAGTTTGGGTGTGGGTTAATTTACTATCTGCTGTGCGCCCTGCAACTTTCAGACAAAGAACGTGAGCAAAAAACAAGAACGTTCAGTGAACACTGCATCAATGTCAATAACTGTTTATTTTGTTTTGTGGATCACTTGCAACCGGTTTGATAGAATTATCAAACCGGTTGCATATACAATTGGTGTATGAATAACATTTTAAAACTGAAAAAAACGCTTCCATCTATAGCATTATAAACAATTATGTACACTGAGTGTATAAAACATTAAGAACACCTTCCTAATATTGAGTTGCACCCCCCCTCCAATTCTTCCCACAGTTGTGTCAAGTTGGCTGGATGTGCTTTGGGTGGTGGACCATTCTTGATACACACGGGAAACTGTTGAGCGTGAAAAACCCAGCAGCTTTGCAGTTCTTGACACAAACCGGTGCACCTGGCACCTACTACCACACCCCGTTCAAAGGCACCTAAATTGTTTGTCTTATCCATTCACCCTCTGAATGGCACACATACACAATTGTCTCAAGGCTTAAAAATCATTCTTTAACCTGTCTCCTCCCCTTCATCTACACTGATTGAAGTGGATTTAACAATTGACATCAATAAGGGATCATAGCTTTCACCTGATTCACCTGGTCAGTCTATGTCATGGAAAGAGCAGGTGTTCATAATCGAACATTTTTATTTCAATGTCAAACTAATACAAACATTGTGTTTGTTTCGATTTATAGCATCGAACATAGGTATAGGCCTAGCATACTTTACAAAAGCTCTATTTTCTCCACTAGGCTATACTGAACATTGGAGTCACATAAATCAGTGGAGCATTCTTGCCACATTAAATAGTCGTCACTTATCTTCAAATTCCACATAGTGGAAACTATCTAGTCTTCAACCATTATTTAAATGCATTGTCCATCATATTCCCCTCCATTGAAATTTGTTGTGATTGCCTAATGCTGTTGCTGTCCAAAAGAGTGTAAACATCCTCTGTGAAAATGTTCTGCAGTCCTATTTGCGGAGGTTGGAAAAGCCGTGCGCTTGGTTACAAGTCACTCGGCAGCTTGTTGTGTTCATTCCATGTTATTATGCCATGTAACGTTGCTTGCCACAGGCTGCTATTGCAATTTGATTAATAAAAAATGTGACACATAAAAGTATATGGTACAGCAGGCTTTGTTTACAAAATAGTATGTCCAATAGGCCTATCTACAGAAGCCTATAATGTAGGATGCACATGTTTGTAATATATTACGTTCCTTGCAGATTGAACATTTTCCCATATTTGGAAGAGGGAAATATGCTCCCAGTCAGTCATAAGGTTTTTTTCCTTCATGTGAGCAATCCAATTGCTGTTTGATGAGGAGACTAATTGGCTGCATCCCAGGGCTAGTCCAATTCTATGGAGATGCAGCGGCACTGCTTTACGCGCTGGATGCGCTTCTTCTTGGTGGGCGGCTGCTGGTCCGGACAGTTCAAAGTGTAGGTCATGGTTGTAAATCGTTTCGGCTTGCAGAATGAACAAGACTGGAAGGCTCCCTCTTCCCTGCGGACATGTCTGGGGATGTAAAAAGAATTACACTGTCCGTAGCAGAACCTGTTAATGATGGTGCGGCTGATGCAGCCCTCCTCGTGGATGGTCTGTTTGAGTGGCTGGGTCTTGCACCAGTCGCGTTTCAGATAGCGGCGCTCCGTGACATGCAACGCTTCTTGGCTGGACTCCAGCACCTCCTCAGCTGGTGCAGCAGAGCTCTTTCCCCGCCCTCGGGAACCAGAGCCCGCCTGCGGTGTCTGTGGTTGCTGCTCCGATTCGTTTGGGTTGTTTTTGTCAGGATGAGGGATGGCGCCTTGGGAGCCCCTGTTCCTTTTGGAATCCACTGGAGATGACAGCAGCCCCAGGATGAAAACCATGCCACAGAGGATACGCACCGATCTGGCCATGCTTGAAGAGGAAAGATACGTGAAGGTTGAATCATCATCCATAGCCTATCATTTTACACTTCTTGTAAACGACAACCCAGATCTACGCTGCGTAATTAACGCATGGGCTTTCTCGCTTGTTTTTTTGTCCTCACGAAACATTACACACAACTTACGATTTAAGAGGAATAGAAACATTAAACATGGCCTTTAATGACCATATCGATTTTCTTGTTTTTATATTTACAATATATTCCACATTACCCAACTCAATCGTCAATGCAGAAAGAAGATAAAAGCTATCAGAATGTATATTTTATGGATATTGCGGTATAGGGCGAAAGCCATTGAGTAAAACAATCTTTATGCATGAGAGTAATCATTTAATTTCAAATGTATATTTACTATAGTCTACAATAATCATTGAGACATGTATTCTAACTACAGAATATGTATACATTCAAGCGGAGATTACGCGTAAAGACCACCTGCGACATGATAAGGAACCGAATTTAATAGCATGCCCATGTTTAACGCACATACTTTCTCAGATGTTAAGCGTTGAACTTCACTTAACTCACCTGTCAAAAGCTCCAAGTAGCCACAAATGAAATTATCTGTAGTGGGTGTTCTTTATCAAATCTCTTGAGGCAAGAGGCAGCTAATGGTGGAGACTGTAGTACTGCAGAAGGGGCGCTCGTTGGTGGGAGTCTGGAGTCGTTAACGATTCCATAGAAAGCGGCTGGAGTTTCAATACAAATTGCAGCAGCGCCGGACTGTCTCCTTTTTAAATGTCTGCCAGCTGAGATGTGCACAACAGCTCCCTCCACATTATTGGCTAAGCACGATGCAAGGGAAATCAAAACTATCCGCCCCCTCAACACTTACCCGAATCCACTTTAAGAAAACAGACAACCAAGGAATACCAGGGGGGAGGGGGTGTAGGAGAACTTTGGCACGAATTTCATGGAAACCATGCAGACTTCAGTACTGAACTGGGCACAAATTTGGGAATGTTATGCATGTCATAAATAATAAGTAAGTCTAGCCTATTTTACTCAACTGCATGTTATCTCTAATATCTCTAATTTTCTCTAGGCTATGTTTACAGAGGGGGAGAGGGGGCAGTTATGGTTTATTTTACATTCTGCTTTTTACATGATAGAAATTACATGATAATGATAATTACATATTAGTCCAAGCTCATCACTAAGCACAGGGCCCTGTGTCTGAACACTGCCCTGTGCAACTGGGTCCTAGACTTCCTGACAGGCCGACCCCAGGTGGTGAAGGTAGACAACAACACCTCTGCCACGCTGATCCTCAATACAGGGGCCCCACAGGGGTGCATGCTCAGCCCCCTCCTGTACTCCCTGTTCACCCATAACTGCGTGGTCACGCACGTCTCCAACTCAATCATCAAGTTTTCTGATGACACAACAGTGGTAGGCCTGATTACTAACAACGACGAGACAGCCTACAGGGAGGAGGTGAAAGCCATGGCCGAGTGGTGCCAGGAAAATAAACTCCCTCAACGTCAACAAAATGAAGGAGCTGATCGTGAACTACAGGAGACAGCAGAGAGAGCACGCCCCCATCCACATCGACAGGGCTGCAGTCGAGAGGGTCAAAAGCTGCAAGTTCCTCGGCGTGCACATGGAGGACCTGAAATGGTACCTCCACACCAACAGAATGGTGCGCCTCTTCAACCTCAAGAGGCTAATGAAATTCGGCTTGGCCCCTAAGACCCTCACAAGCCTCTACAGATGCACCATCGAGAGCATTCTGTTGGGCTGTATCACCGCCTGGTATGGCAACTGCACTGTCCGCAACTTTAGGGCTCTCCAGCCCAACCAGCCTAACGTATCACTGGGGGCACACTGCCTGCCTTCCAGGACATCTACAGTACCCAGTGTCACAGGAAGGCCAAGAACAACAAAGGCCTCAGCCACCTGAGCCATGGCATGTTCACCCCGCTACCATCTAGAAGGCGAAGACAGTACAGGTGCATCAAAGCTGGGACCGAGAGATAAACAGCTTCTATCTCCAGGCCATCAGACTGTTAAACAGTCACCACTAGCCGGCCTCTGAACCTTAGTCATTGTTACTAGCCGGCTACCACCCGGTACTCTTACCCTGCACCTTAGAGACTGCTGCCCTATGTACATAGAGTCACTGAACACTGGTCACTTTAATAATGTTTACACACTGTTTTACCCACTTTATATGTACATACTGTATTCTAGTCATGGCTCATCCTATATAACTACTGCTCTACACACCATTTATATTCATTTATTCAAATCAAATCAAGCTTAATGTATACATACTGTCCATACTGTCTATACATACAATTATATACAGTTGAAGTCTGAAGTTTACATACACCTTAGCCAAATACATTTATATTCAGTTTTTCACAATTCCTGACATTTAATCCTAGTACAAATTCCCTGTTTTAGGTCAGTTAGGATCACCACTTTATGATAAAAATGTGAAATGTCAGAATAATAGTAGAGAGAATTATTTATTTAAGCTTTTATTTCTTTCATCACATTCCCAGTGGGTCAGAGGTTTACATACACTCAATTAGTATTCGGTAGCATTGCCTTTAAATTGTTTAACTTGGGTCAAACGTTTCGGGTAGCCTTCCACAAGCTTCCCACAATAAGTTGAGTGAATTTTGTCCCATTCCTCCTGACAGAGCTGGTTTAACTGAGCCAAGTTTGTAGGCCTCCTTGCTCGCACACACTTTTTCAGTTCTGCCCAAACATTTTCTATAGGTTTGAAGTCAGGGTTTTGTGATGGCCGCCACTCCAATACCTTGACTTTGTTGTCCTTAAGCCATTTTGCCACAACTTTGGAAGTATGCTTGGGGTAGTTGTCCATTTGGAAGACCCATTTGCGACCAAGCTTTAACTTCCTGACTGATGTCTTGAGATGTTGCTTCAATATATCCACATAATATTCCGTCCTCATGATGCCATCTATTTTGTGAAGTGCAACAGTCCGTCCTGCAGCAAAGCACCCCAACAGCATGATGCTGCCACCCCGTGCTTCACGTTTGGATGGTGTTCTTCGGCTTGCAAGCAACCCCCTTTTTCCTCCAAACTTAACGATGGTCAATATGGCCAAACAGTTCTATTTTTGTTTCATCAGACCAGAGGACATTTCTCCAAAAAGTACGATCTTTGTCCCCATGTTCAGTTGCAAACCGTAGTCTGGCTTTTTTATGGCGGTTTTGGAGCAGTGGCTTCTTCCTTGCTGAGCGGCTTTTCAGGTTATGTCAACCTAACTGTATCCCAACCGTGAAGAACGGGGATGGCAGCACCATGCTGTGGGGGTGCTTTGCTGCAGGAGGGACTGGTGCACTTCACAAAATAGATGGCATCATGAGGACGGAAAATTATGTGGATATATTGAAGCAACATCTCAAGACATCAGTAAGGAAGTTAAAGCTTGGTCGCAAATGGGTCTTCCAAATGGACAATGACCCCAAGCATACTTCCAAAGTTGTGGCAAAATGGCTTAAGGACAACAAAGTCAAGGTATTGGTATGGCCATCACAAAGCCCTGACCTCAATCCTATAAAAAATGTGTGGGCAGAACCGAAAAAGCGTGTGCGAGCAAGGAGGCCTACAAACCTGACTCAGTTACACCAGCTCTGTCAGGAGGAATGGGCCAAAATTCACCCAACTTATTGTGGGAAGCTTGTGGAAAGCTACCTGAAACGTTTGACCAAAGTTAAACAATTTAAAGGCAATGCTATCAAATACTAATTGAGTGTATGCAAACTTCTGACCCACTGGGAATGTGATGAAAGAAATAAAAGCTTAAATAAATAATTCTCTCTACTATTATTCTGACATTTCACATTCTTAAAATAAAGTGGTGATCCTAACTGACCTAAAACAGAGAATTTTTAATAGGATTAAATGTCAGGAATTGTGAAAAACTGAGTTTAAATGTATTTGGCTAAGGTGTATGTAAACTTTTGACTTCAACTGTAGCCACCCTTTGCCTTGATGACAGCTTTGCACACTCTTGGCATTCTCTCAACCAGCTTCACCTGGAATGCTTTTCCAACAGTCTTGAAGGAGTTGCCACATATGCTGAGCACTTGTTGGCTGCTTTTACTTCACTCTGCCGTCCGACTCATCCCAAACCATCTCAATTGGGTTGAGGTCGGGGGATTGTGGAGGCCAGGTCATCTGATGCAGCACTCCATCACTCTGCTTCTTGGTAAAATAGCCCTTACACAGCCTGGAGGTGTGTTGGGTCATTGTCCTGTTGAAAAACAAATGATAGTCCCGCTAAGCCCAAACCAGATGGGATGGCGTATCGCTGCAGAATGCTGTGGTAGCCATGCTGGTTAAGTGTGCCTTGAATTCTAAATAAATCACAGACAGTGTCACCAGCAAAGCACCCTCACACCATAACACCTCCTCCTCCATGCATTACAGTGGGAACTACACATGCGGAGCTCATCCGTTCACCCACACCACGTCTCACAAAGACACGGAGGTTGGAACCAAAAATCTCCAATTTGGACTCCAGACCAAAGGACAAATTACCACAGGTCTAATGTCAATTGCTCGTGTTTATTGGCCCAAGCAGGTCTCTTCTTATTATTGGTGTCCTTTAGTAGTGGTTTCTTTGCAGCAATTCGACCATGAAGGCCTGATTCACACAGTCCCCTCTGAACAGTTGATGTTGAGATGTGTCTGTGACTTGAACTCTGTGAAGGATTTGTTTGGACTGCAAATTCTGAGGCTGATAACTCTAATGAATTTATCCTCTGCAGCAGAGGTAACTCTGGGTCTTCCATTCCTGTGGCGGTCCTCATGAGAGCCAGTTTCATCATAGTGCTTGATGGTTTTTGTGACTGCACTTGAAGAAACGTTCAAAGTTCTTGAAATGTTCCGTATTGACTGACATTCATGTCTTTAAATAATGATGGACTGTCGTTTCTCTTTGCCTATTTGAGCTGTACTTGCCATAATATGGACTTGGTCTTTTACCAGATAGGGCTATCTTCTCTATACCCCCCTACCTTGTCACAACACAACTGATTGGCTCAAACGCATTAAGAAGGAAAGAAATTCCACAAATTAACTTTTAAGAAGGCACACCTGTTAATTTAAATGCATTCCAGGTGGCTACCTCATGAAGCTGGTTGAGAGAATGCCAAGAGTGTGCAAAGCTGTCATCAAAGCAAAGGGTGGCTATTTGAAGAATCTCAAATACAAAATATATTTTAACAGTTTTTTGGTTACTACATGATTCCATATATTACTTCATAGTTTTGATGTCTTCACTATTATTCTACAATGTAGAAAATTGTAAAGAAAATAAAGAAAAACCCTGGAATAAGTAGGTGTGTCCAAACTTTATACTGGTACTGTGTATACAGTGCATTCGGAAAGTATTCGGACCCCTTTACTTTTTCCACATTTTGTTACGATACAGCCTTATTCTAAAATTGATTACATTTAAAAATAAAAATAAATCTACACACAGTACCCCATAATGACAAAGCAAAAACAGGTTTTTAGAAATGTTTGCAAATGTATTACAAATAAAAAAAACAGAAATTTACATAAGTATTCAGAACCTTTGCTATGAGACTCGAAATTGAGCTCAGGTGCATCCTGTTTCAATTTATCATTCTTGAGATGTTTCTACAACTTGATTGGAGTCCACCTGTGGTAAATTCAATTGATTGGACATTAATTGGAAAGGCACACACCTGTCTATATAAGGTCCCACAGTTGACAG